CACACTCCTCGGAGGATCCCTGAGGGCCCTGATGCATGGAGGTTGTAGTGTCTGGATTTTGTGCAGTGATACTACAAAAAAAAAGAAGACATCAGCGATCAGTATTGGACTGCTGTCAACTATATCTATTATTGAAATCACATGACCACTTAATTCTTAATTTCAACTATTTTAATTTCAGCCAAAACATGTTTTAATATGCAACACACTAGCCTACATTGTTGAAAACAATATTAATTATTTACACATCATGTCTCTGTAATAACCTGGGGAAAAACCTCATTAACGCATTGTATGTTAAATGTAACATGAATAAATTATCACTGCATTATAATAACTGTTAACATATAGATTATCAGTGAAACTGACATTCTCTGATAATAGAGCAAAGTAACTGTTTTAAAAATCATGATTTGAAAGAGTGATAAAATTAAAAGGCTCACAATTTTAATTTTAAGATCCAGGTATAATGAACAAGCAGAAATTCATCATTTCTAGATTGAAGGAATTAAAAAATCGCTATGTGAAGAACTAGAGGTGTAATTTCATCTGGAGTATAGCATGACGTCACACACCTTCTCTCTGTGTTGATCTCCAGCCCCTTGTTTACAAGCCGGTCCGGCTGCACATTCATGTACGTTCATGTGAATATCTTACTCAGTAAGATAATAATTTCAGCAACAGATAACAAGATTCTTGGAAGTGGATTTTTCTTCAACTGGCTGGTTTAAAAATAAAGAACCCAACAACAGTGTGATTTTTTTTCCATAAAATAAATCTGCAATTATGCTTGGTACCAATGTATCTTGTTGAAAAATGCATATGCCAATAGTTCAATTTACATACACAGCTCAGAAAACTAAATATTTTCCCTCAATGATTCAACCCTAGAACATACTAGTGAGGTGAAAGGCAAATGAAAAAAAGCTTTTCTTACCTTACATCATCTTTGCAACTCACAATGATACACAATGGTTTGTGGGAAATGTGCTCTCAATAATAAAGAACACTACTCTAACATTACTATGGATAGAAGCTGTCATCTCCACCATGCTTTCATTTTACAAAGTTCCAAGTTACTCTGACAACAATGTGTTGATGTTTTAAAATGTGACACGCAGCAGCTTTAAACTACCATTCATTAATTTGTGGTCCCTGAAGTTGGTCATAACATTAACATGAACAAACTGATGTAAAGTGGACTTTACTCAATGGTACAGGCCCACAGAGGAAACTAAGCAACTGTGGATGTTCCCTCAGTAGAATAGAAACTACTGTTGTCCCTTGTTAGCACAAATTACCCCCTACCCTTGAGGTTTGAACAAACCCCCTCCTATATTATAAGCCATGTCTCTGTGTGTCTACAGGGCCTTTGTGTCTGCTCTATTTAACTCTCCAGCCTGGACGACTCTCTTATTCTCCATCCTATGCTCCCCTTTGCTCAAATCCTCTGGTATACTCTTATCTATATTACTTCTCTCTTAATCTCCCAGCTCTGCCCGTTCATTCTGCCTGCCATTCATCCATTGTTCACGTCATTCATGTAAGGCAAGAATGTTTACGCAGAGCTTATGCTATCTCTATCTTTGTTTCCAAACTCTACAACCAACACGTCAAAGGATAACATTTCAAGCAATTTCCTTGCAACTAATAAAATGATCTGCCTTGTTTTTAAGGAACTAATTACTGAAAATATTCCAAACAGGTTATAGTTATATGTGCTGGGGGCTTGTGCAACAACAGTGGATACGGAAGAGGTGGGGCTCATTAAATGAGCTGCTTGGGCTATTTTAGCTACTGATATCATGAACCTCATCACAATTAAATCAGGAATTTGACAAAAGTGACCCATCAAAAAACACCAAGTGCCTCACCAATTTTATACATGACTGTGAAAACAGTTGTGCAATGTCATAATGTCCTCTATGCCACAGGATGAACCTCTGAGATGAAGTCTGAGAAAAAAAAAACCCTGATGATGTAACAGTGATGTCATCAGGGTTATCTCAGTTTGGCCTTGGAGACTCCACATTTTAATAGAGCTTGCAATTGAAACTGTGGGTGAGGTGTTGGAATACATAGCCAGGCAAGGAGGGTCTAACAGAAGATGCCATCGAGTTGCATTATGGGAAGTGTGTCAAGTGTTAATGGGGATTTATCCATTCTAGGGACTGAAATTCAAGATATCTCAGCTGCTGCTGCTTCAGTGTTGACCATTAAAAAATATGTGTCTCCTGCAAGTCCAACTTAATAGAAAAGCTATACTATATTACTGGTGTACCCATTTAAGTGATTTATTGCACCAATCCCATCTCTGGGCGTATACAAACAACAACCCAAAAGTGACATTTATTATCGATTATCACAATCATATTACTCATGAAAGCTGCAGTAGGAGTGTTATATTATTCAGCAAGGCCTGTTTGATATTCCTGAATCTAGGAACTAGGGCTGTATCTGACTCAGAATTGTGTCAGTCAAACCAGATTTGGCTGTTCAATACGAATATTTGACTATTTGTTTCTTTTTTTCCATATAGAGTTAGAGAATTTGCCTGACATTCGGGGTTAGAGCGATGCTCATGTAAGATAGTAAACAATCCAAATTAGCCCTCTGAATGAATGTGTGCTAACTGCACTAACGACAGATCGGAAACACTTTCTGCCGACACTAGGTGTCCAACAAAAGCTGCAGACTGTGTCATGTTAAGTTGCTGTGAGCTGTAAATTCACCATTTCTAAGCAGAAGGTAGAAGTTAATGTTATCTCGGAGTCTGACCATGCAGAGTGTCTCTTTCTACAGGCAGCTGCCTCAGTCTCAATCATACTCACCCTGGGTCTGGATCTGCAGCTACCTGTACCACAGATCAGTATGAAAGCAGAGATCACTCACTCAGCAGCTCAATCTAGGGACTGGAACATCATACAAAGTACACTGCACACTGACTAACAAAAACTTTTAAGAATTAAAGAATCTCAGTCAACTGAGGGGTCTCCCACTGATGATTTGAATTTCGATTTGAATCGTCGACTTTCAGGGGGCTGCCCTAATTGGAACTTAGTGCATAAATGTGGCAGACGTAGTGACTTTACAGTGAGCTCAACATACTTAACACGTTATTGTACTTTCTAATGTCAATATAAGTCATCAGGATTGTATTTATACCTGATTACTTATTTAAAAAATCAGGGCCAAAAGACCCACATAGTCAAGAAAAATAAAAAGGTAGTTAGCCATGAAGTTACTTTCTAGCCACTCTAGGGGCTCTAGTTTCCCAGCGCAGCGCAGGGTGGCACAGGGTGGCGAACCCCGCGCAGAGCTAGTTTCGAGCAGCGCAACCCGACGCGCGCTCAGTTTGGTAGTTTGGCAGACCAAGGTGCACTGAGATGGGTGTGGCGGCACAGCAGGGGGAGGTGTCGACAGATCCAGCTTGGTGCAGTGACAGTTTCGTGCCAAAAGGCTTCGCCGAAGGTGCGCTAAAAGCTCGCCAGCTGAAACCAGGTCTACTGTCAGCGCAGGGGGAGAGCAGCCGGTGTAAGTGGAAGTTTGGCTGACAGACGGACAGTGCGCACACGTCACCAAAACCTCACAGGCAGGTTTCCAGAATATCAGGCACATTAACGATGTAATAAATACCCAAAATACACTATTCAATGCAACTATCTGCAATCAGCACATAAATGTATCTCTATATCGACTGTCCCGTCACATCTGATGTCAGATCAAAGGGGATTGGCACCGTTTGGCACGTTTGGCATGCGTAATGGAAACCCAACCTGATTTGATTAAACAGCTGCAAACTAATGAGTTCACATCCCTCTCAGCCAACCACAAACAGCCACAGCATCAGATAGGGAGTATATATTCAGCATCTGTCATCTTAGAAAAATCAAAAGAAAAGAAACAGAGTGAGACTGCGAGAGAGAAAGAGAGAACGCGTGCACGCACGAGAGAAACGCAACATTGATTTACAATTGTGGTGACCTCCTCCCAGGCTACCTTTGCATCATCAGCCTGTGGAGGTCTGCTCACAGTTCCGTATATTCGGACACTGTGAGCTTGGACCTCCCCGGACCAAAACATCAGTTTCCTCCTGGGAGAAGTTTGGCCGTCTGACGCTGCTGCTCTCTTCCGCCATGGCGAATTGAGTAAACTCTCATTACGCCTTCGCGCGGCGCATATAAGGGCGAGGAGAGGGGCTCATTTGATTGATGTGATGTGTGTAAAACCCACTCCACGCCTTCTCTCCTCCCTCTTTCCGACTTGCGCAGGTAGGAGGGACGGAGGTGGGAAAGACGAGTAGCTGCGCCAGCACGCACGGTGTGCCAAACTTGCAAAATCCACCTGGCCACAACCAGTTGGCGAAGCGCAGGTGCGCTGCGCCCCCGCCTCGTCCGGTCTGCGAAACTAGAGCCCTAGGAATACATAAGCAAAACGATTGCATTTAGTTGCCACAATCAGGACATTTCAGAACTGCTGTCAGAGCACGGAAATGATGCAGTGGATGAACCTACATTTTTCCATTCAAATTTCAGGGTTCTCTTGCAAGTAACGCCAGAAACTTAGCCTACCTCATGGAGCAGACCCTGTCCAATCTGAAATACTCATGTATGGGACATCTCTCCTTCTATATGATCCAACACAGACTATACATAAAGAACATATTTCTCCAGGAGGCACTTACAGAAGGTGTAAGCATGTGGTTATTTGGCCTTAACATGGAAAACCACTGGTATGATCCTTTAAGGCTTCAGTGAGCACACACTACAGTTATACTGTGTTTCAGCCAGTTTACCAGCTTGACACTGAAGGCCAATTTCACCTAGACAACTTATATTCAAACCCTGTGATCTAAAAACATCCATTTTACTAAATGCCCACCAGCCAAATCAACTCTAACCTCCTGCAGGGAAGAGGACGTTCCTACGGGGATCAACATCACATTAGGGAAAGCATCACTACCTCCTCACGTCTTTGCTTTAACGCTCACAGCGACTTACCGCTCTTGGTGTCCTTTCCATCCAGCAAGGGTCGGTAGTCACTCTTGGAGACTGTCTCTCCCACCTTGTCATCATAGCTTTCTTTCTCCAGTGAGGCCACAAAGTCTCTCTTCAGCAGGGGCTCAGCAGGGGCCCCACCTGGGACCCCACCTCCACCTCCACCCAGAGCGTCTCGCAGGCTCAGGTCCATAGTCCTGTTACTGGAGAAAAAAACACATCATTAGGTATTTTCTGCTTTACCCACTCCTCTTCACAGGCTGTCTTTACAGTAATATTATCTGTGTATTGAAAACAAAAAGTCTTCCTTCCAGTGACCATCACTGTATGCGACTGACCACTTCACACCTTTGACAAGCCTAGCAATTCAGGTGAGCAGTGATTCACACCATGTGTAAACCTGCTGATAAAAATCACCCAAGGATAGAAACGAGTAAAGAAACTGGCACATCTCTGCTTTCACTGTTCTACATATCTTCTCTCTTAATTCAGTTTAGTGGGACATGTGTGCCTGTGGAATCACTTTCTTAGAAGAATTGATGTAAGTTATTAGAGTGAAAGCAATAATAACACTTGAAACTGAACTAAAACTCAACAAAACTCCTTTTCTTACTGTCTACACACTCCTCCTGATACTACAGCAGCTGTTTAACATTTATAAGGTACGTCTCCTGATGCAGTGGTCAATAAAAGGTGAATAGACAAAGGCCTCTAAATAAGTAATGTAATAAAGTGAACATGAATCCATTGAGTATCCAGAAAACTATTCATTTATGTTTACTCCTACATGTAATACCCATGAACTTTTCACAGAGTGCAATGATTTCTCATTCCAGAAAAATCCACCTGAACATGACATTTAGTTTAACAGCCAGGATGTGTGGATCTAGGGAGAGAATGACATAAAACTGCTTCTTCTCTGAAGTGCTGGCGCTGGGTAGCTGGATGGTAATGTATCCTCACGCATTGACTCGCCACTGCCTGCAATGTCAGGCGACAAGATGCCACCAGTGTGTGGACTGACACTGAAAACAATGGGTGCCAGTGTTTCGATGTGAGTCGAACACTGTGTGTGTCGCCATTGCGTTTTTGTCTGCCAATATATAGCTTGAAAGAAGCATTAAAGAGTCTAATTTTATGGAAAAAAAAACCAACCCAAAACTATTGCCTCAAGGTTATATGCCTCTGCCAACTACTAAAGTTGCAGTTTGCATCCATGTCTTTTCAGACTCATATAATATACGTTAGTGAAACCTTTAAAGGAACTGAATAAAAGGTATGGGTGTATTTTTTGGCAATCAGCACAGTTTCAAGGTGACACCCAAGATTAGTGTCATCAATTCAGTACCAAATGTCTCCCTTTCTGTACCTGAGGTATGATGTTGAATAATGGCCAGAAAACATGATGTCACAGTAAGATTGACCTTTGACCTTTTGGATGTAAAATGTCCTCACTTCATAATTATATCCTATCAGACATTTGTGGAAAATGTTGTCTTTATTACTCTATGAATCCTTAAGTTATGGCCAAAAACATGTTTTGTGAGCTCACAGTGACCTTGACCTTTGACTACCAAATTCTGCTGATTTTATTTTTAAGTCCAAGCAGATGACAATGCCAAATTTGAAGTTTCCCTCAAGGCGTTTCTAAGATATTGCATTCACAAGAATGGGACAGACCGCCCGAAAATAATAATAACTTCAGCCAAGGCTATCCCCGCCACATAAAAAAATGATTACCTCTAAAAAGAGTTACTGATGGAATAAGAGTGTAAAAATTTTCTGAACTAATGTAAAAAAGTAAAAAAACAAAAACAAAAAAGGAATCTTGCCTGTTAATAAAATACATCTAGCACAGTGCATACACAATCATAATCATCATTAAAGTCAGGACACTCCCTTCAGGCTCAAACCATTAATTGCAGCAATATTGTTTTTAAGTTTGGCACATTTCAAATAAATTAACAAATTTAATAAACAAACATTCAGATGTTACACACAACTAAATGCCAATAAAGGAGAACATTGATAAAGTGGAGAGCGTTACAATCAAACTGAACTGATGACACAAATCTTTACTGGTTCTAGGGCTTTTGCTCAAACTACATGTCACACGTCCACATCTTCGTATGTCTGCCACCTCAGACACAAAGAGTATAGAAGCAGATAGAGACAGAGACCGGCCTCTCTCCCTCCCAACTCAGACCAAACTCAAATCATACTGTAAAACTAAGCAATGCTGGTCAAATACAAACCAAGATTCTATTACTGTGTCGCCTGTTTCTTGACTAAAATGTTTTCAGACACACATTTTAGTGTACCTTTTGGCTGTAATACAAGAATTTGTGAACAGGAAGTAGGCACCATACAGTTTCCTGTGATGTAAAAACAGAGGCTGAAAAGACTGAGATGAAACAAAGTAAAGCTGAGCAGTGCTGATCAAATATGAACCAAGATTCTGTCACTGTGTTGCCTATTCAAATTTGTGACCTCAAATGTTTTCAGAAAATCATTGTAGTGTACTGTTTGGCTGTAATACGAGATCTTTTGTTAGCAGCCAGCTGCCATATTGTTCTTGTGTGTCCAGGGTCCGAAATTTTGACTGACCGACCAAGGTGGCTGGTAGATAAAAAAATTAAACTGGCCAAACATAGTTTTTACTGGCCAAAATAATCGTTGTTTCACATATACATTTGTTTCAGTACATTTCAGTGAGATAATAAGGTATTATGTTAAATACCATCTTAAAGAGGAGGCCTGATCAAAATCTGAAGCAAAATTATTTTATAATATTGACCAACTCTCAGCATGTGAATAAGTTCCCTTTGGTAAGCAGCAGGGTTGGAGTTTAGCATCAGCCACCAGTCAAGTACTCATAAAATATACAAGTGGCTGCAACATTTGCTTCACTCACCAGCCAAGAAACAACAGTGATCCACTGAGTGGCTGGGAGATGTTGCTATCCACCAGCCACAGTAGCAGGTAAACAAAAAAAGTTAATTTCCAACCCGGGTAAGCAGTGATGCAGTGTATATTTCTAGGGCTTTTATTGTGACAGAAAAATTGGAGCTAATAGGAGTGACAATATGGGAAGCAATAAAGAGCTTGTTGTCTTGGTTCAGATTATGGGGCCTCAGTGTTAAGTATGGGTGCAATGCTAGCAGCTGACCAGTTGCAAGTGATATTTTAGCTGATCAGCTGATATCCTGTACGGTAAACACTGCCGCAAAACTAGGGGCACTCGAGACGGTCAGTTTCACAACACTGTTTTGAAGCGCGAATGCTTGTGTGTCTCTACCTGACACTTGAGCACAGGAGCAGCTTAAATGACACCAAAACGCAGCACAGGTTCTCAGCATAGTGTTTTTTTATTATATAACTATTTTGGTACAAACATTTACCTGCCGGTGTGGCGGACAGCCTTTCAGAAAACGGAAAATCTACCTGCATTTGGCGTTTGGCTTGTGTTAGTTTTCGACCCTGGTCACGTCATTACATTACATGATTTACATCACCCACCAGTATGAGCATTTATTTGTCTGGTGTAGCACAGTGCATTCTGATAGTTGTAGGTTTTCTACCACTTGTGCAAAAGCAAATACTGCAGTCCTTTTCCGTTGTTTCCTCTGGTCATGAAGCACCATTTTTAAAAATATTTGTGTCTTTCTAGACAGTCTAGTTTTATGAAAAAACCATTGTTCCAGAAGTAAAATACTTCCTTAAGAGTAACACACTTGACATGTCAGTTATTGTTCCTTTGTGTCACTTAGGGCTGGGCTAAAATAATCAATTCATCCAATTCAAATTGATCTTCACTGAAAAATCTCCAGTCGAATCGATATCGGATCGAATCGGAAAGCGAATTGAATCGGGACCCCTTGAATCAAAATCAAAGCTATTCAGGAAGTCAGTAGCAATACCCAGCCCAAGTGTCAGTGACTGCTGTAACACATTCTAATCACCCAGTGTACAAGTAGTGTCTAGTGTTTCCAAGATGGAAATAATCAGAGGAAGTACTGGGTACCTAAACCAACATTAACAAACTTTAATCAATCAGTTCAGGTGCTTAATGTCCCAAACATAAATGGTGTCCCCACACTTAGACAGCATGACCCCTGAACAAACTCCTCTTTTTCTCTGTCCTCTGTTTCTGTTTGTCCCTCCATCAACCCTCCCAGCAAACAAGCTGTCATTGTCTTGCAACTCTACCACACACACATGAACACACACACACACGCATGCACGCGCGCGCACACACACACACGGACACACACACACACACAGTGGCTAGTAGCCAGTATGAGGACATACAGTAGAGTGCTATCAGGCCTTGAGTGGAACTGTAGGCCATTGTTTCAGTGGAAGGACACAGTACAGTGGAACCCCCACACACAACACACACACTTTCACTTTGGGTTTCTACCTCTTTAACAGTTCTCCGTTTTCCTTTGTCATTTCTCTATTATTCTCTCGCAGCTATGAATGACTGTGTATTTTCCTGTTGCCTCTGATTCTTGTCTCATATTTCTCTCAAAGATATTTCTCTACAAATTCTGCTTAGTGAACTGCAGTACCACACGTCTTATGATCACACAGCAGTCTTTCTCTCTCAGACACACACGCACTCACAATGCAACCAATAAATCCATCACTGAAGTCCAATAAATGAACCAATCCCAAATAGAGGCTTCCTAACCTCTATTACCCTCTTAACGTATTATTCTGCAATATTTATCGCTCCATTGGAGAGGTTTCATAAGCCAGAATATTCAGTGGCCTGGAGCTGGTGCACTTTGTTTTCTCTCATTCATTCTGCCTCTCATTACTACCATACTACCTTTAAATGTAATTATTAATGTGTGTTTTTTTACTTATCCTAGGGAAGCTGAGTAAGATAGACGATGAAATGCAGCTCTATAAACTACATGTACACTACCTTTCTGTCAAGAGACAATCTGCCAGTTAACTTGTGTAAAGTGATGCTTGTAAGTGATGACTCGTCAATATTTAATATGCCCATCCATCAGAAACGATCAACTACTGCCGGTTGTACAGCGGCAAAGGGTGTGAAAGACATTTTTCTTTATGCTATCCTATATTATGGGTGTTACAATCCATCGTTCTGAATATATATTGATTCAACAATCAGTGATCCAATATCACTGACGCAAGCATCGATCTATACCATCATTTTTCGGTTATG